GTAAATTGCCCAGGTTAGCAAGAACAGGAGCAAATGCAGAACCCTGGCTTCTGGACTGGCCCTCTTAACCACAGCATTGTTTCTTGTGCTTGGCTCTCTTGTTGCTCACTGTTGAGAAGAGTCCATACAGATACACATACACTGTGTATAGATGGTGCCAGACACGGGCGGGCACTCAGGAAATTTGAGGCATAAGTCTCTTTTTTTAAGTTTGAGCATCAGCACCCTTCTTTATCGGGCCTGTCCTGACCACTGCCCAGCCGTGAGGAACACGCTGTGTAGCAGGTATGGGTCGTTGGTGGGTGTCTCCCTTCTTAGGGACAGTCATTGGCTATAAGACAGTGAGTGGAGGAATAACACCTCTTTCACGGAAAAGGAGAAGTGCTACTTTAGTTCTATCTAGTGAAGTGTTCTTTGTGATTTATGTTCTTAGATATTTTTAATAAAACTTGGAATGACAGTACATTTCTTTCCAGAATAAATGTATTGGTATTTATTGTAAGTTTATATCTTATATCAATGATTTGATCTGCTGTGGTGTTCTGAGTGACTTCCATATGGCTTTGAATTCGAAAAGTTATTAAATGTCATTAATGTTTCGTTTCATATGAATTAAAAGTTATTAAGCAATATTGTTAATTTGCAAAATTCCTTAAAGAGGTGATTTCTTATAGCTTCTCTGATGCAAAACTTATTCTGTACTACTTCTTCCAAATGGTAGATAGTCTAGGTAGTGATAAAGGGAAAACACATTTTGGAGCAAGTCTGCAAGAGAGGTCATATAATTTCATACAAAGTTGTTTGAGTCTCCATTGCATTGGAGAGAAAAGACTCAGGCAGAGGTGAAATATGCTGAAACCATGGCCTCCTCTTTTTTTTTCTCATCATAAAATGTGACAGCTGAGTTCTGAATAGTGGGGGAAACTGCTTCTTGCGTGTCAAAAGGTCCAGATTAAAGTCTTATCTGTACAAAATAATAACAAGATAGCAGGTTTAAGAGCACTGATCCACTCATTACAAAGTGAAGAGTCAACACAGAGCTCTCTTTGCTCAGTTTCACAACAGAGGTGGTTTTAATACTCAGGAACTTATTTTAATGTGACTTGGGGGAAAATGCTAGAGTTTGCTTCTCAGCCCGATAGTATAAAACTTCCATTCTGAATTTTAAGAGAAAAACACCAATGTAAAACAATACTAAAAGCCCTGTCCAGTGTATCTCAGTTGGTTGAGCATTGTCCCATGCAATCAAGAGGTCACCAGTTAGATTCCTGGTCAGTTCACATGCCCGGTTATGGCTCACTTCCCAGTAGGGGTCTGCAGGAGGCAGCCAATCAATGTTCCCATCTCTCTCTCCCTTCCTCTCTCTCTAAAGGCAATTAAAATATTTTTTTAGAAAACATACTGAAAGACATGTAGTATGTGATCTTCCAGTACAACAGAAATCTGACATTGCAAATGCTGAAACTTGATTGTGTCTCTGTTTATGTGCAACTCCCATATTATGTGAGATAAAGATATCGATATCACCAGAAACTGAGCTCTTGTACAGTAGTGGCAGAAAATTGGTGTGTGTGTGTGTGTGTGTGTGTGTGTGTGTGTGTGTGCGTGCGCATGTGCACGAACATGCATGTGTGCACGGTATAAGAGAACTCTGACCGTAGATGCACAGAGGTTATATAACATGCTTTCTTTTTTGTTTTGCTTATATTTGTGTGTTTGTTCTAAGAATTCAGCCTCTGGAATCAAATAAATATATCTGAGTTATAATTCTAAGTTCTGATATTTATTAGGTACAGATGCTTACATTTTATCAGATTCAGTTATCTCACCTACTTATTTTGGAAATATATACCTATATAGTTTAATTTTCTGTGAGTTATAGTAAGTCAAATGCAAACAAAGTGCTTAGCAGAATGATTGCCATAGGAAGTGTATCCATAAATACTTGCATATAAAGAGACCATGAAATTAGATTTGTTTCTAGAGTGAGCCTTCGGGGTATTATTATTTTTTTTATAACATGAAGATGAAGAAAAATTCAAAGAAGCAGCACATTTTCTTTTGAGCAATTAGATAATTCTCTCCCCCATTGAAGAATGGGCTTCATTATATTTGAGGCCCATTCCAATCACAGACTGCTGAAGCTTGCCTCTGGATGATTATTAACATGAAAAGTTCAAAATAATAATTGGAACTAAAATGAATAGAAATCACAGTTCAGGCTCAGATGTAGCAGTGGCTGCTACCAATAGGCTGCTTTTATCTTTGGTCCAGTGTCTCAAGTAATTAAGTTTCCTGGAGAAAATAAAGTAACCTTTTTATTTTAATCTGATTGGAATAATAGATATTTTGCCATGAACAATTAAGCTGATGATCTTCTTTCATAAATTCATTTTGTGAAGAAAAGATTTTCACAAGGATTTTTAGAAGGCTTTCTGGTCTACCATAGAAGATGGGACACTCTGTCAGTTAAAGATATCTTACAAGTGGCTTCCTCTGATGTGTGATTATTTGGGATTAAATTTGTGGAATGAACATTTGTAAGATTGATGTACTTGAGATCCTAACCTCAGTTTGAAACAGGGTTTATCACATTGAAAAGGCAAAAACAAAAGCCAGAATCAAAATCAGGCTCTTTTATGGTTAATTCATACTAAACCCAATTTTGTACTTGAAAGAAAAATCTTATGGTAAAGATACAGGCCAACTACTTGAAAAGAAAGTTTTTTAGTAAACATTGCTACTACTTGTCAGACAGCTAACTGATTTTAATTTAATTTAATTTAATTTTTAACTCCTTATTGATTTTAAGAGAAAGAGACGAGAGAGAGAGAGAGAAAGAGAGAGAGAGAGAGAGAGAGAGAGAGAGAGAGAGACTCACTTATTTGTTGATCTACTTATTTATGCATTCATTGGCTAATTCTTTCTTTAAAATATATTTTATTGAGTTTTTACAGAGAGGAAGAGAGAGGGACAGAGAGTCAGAAACATAGATGAGAGAGAAACATCGATCAGCCGCCTCTTGCACACCCCCCACTGGGAATGTGCCTGCAACCAAGGTACATGCCCTTGACTGGAATTGAACCCAGAACCTTTCACTCCACAGGCCAATGCTCTATCCACTGAGCCAAACCGGTTTCGGCTCATTGGCTAATTCTTATATGTATGTGCCCTGACTAGGAATCGAACCTGCAATCTTGGTGTATCTGGATGACACTCTAAGCAGTTGAGCTATCCAGCCAGGGCTTGATTTTAATTTTAGAATAAGGTTTTACATTTGCATAGTAATTTCAGCACAAAAAATATATTTATCTATGTATATGTGTTAGTATATGTTTCATAGTTTGGAAGTCATTTACTATTAGTTACTTTCTGTTCCCCCTGTTGAATTAAATGTGATCCAATATGGAATTTCAATTTCCCCTGTTGAAATAAAATGTGCTCAAATATGCAATACTGAATTAAAATTTGAACATCCTAAAATGAATACCTGAGATGTGATATTTGTAATGATATTTACCAATATAATTTATAATGATATTTATCAGTAAATACTACCTATGTGTGACTATCTTCAAAGTTCCAAAAGGCCTTACTATTTTTCTTTAAAGTAGCATTCCTGTTTAACAGTATAAAGCAACCACTAGTTTTTGCTTTTGCTGTAAAGGACCACATAGTAAATAGTGAAGGCATTGCCAGTGAAACAGTCTCTGTAGGCACTGTTTTTTTTTTTTTACTCTGTCTTTGGCAATGTGCAAGCAAATGAGCATGCCTGTAGTTCAATAAAACTTTATATGGACATGAAATCTGAATTTTATATAATTTTTGCATATAATTTGACATTTTTATTTTATTGATTTTTAATTATTAAAATACGAGAACATTTTTAGTTATCAGGCTGTATCAAAATGGACAGCAGCAGCCTGCATTTGGTCTGTTAGCTTTGGTTTTCAAACCTCAGACCAGAGCCTAGGAGCTGACATCAGCGTTTCATTAATTTACTCTCATTCCATTTTCTATGCCTTTACCTGCTTAGGCTTGTGTTTCTTTGGTGAAGCTGAAGTGTATCTTCAAGTTACTTCTACCTGTGGTTCTATATTATTCTACCTAGAGCTGACTAAAACAAGATCACTTCCCTTGACATAACATAGAACTTTAAAAGGTCAAAGAAAGCCATTTTGATCCTCATAAACTTCTCTGTCTCTTAATGTATTTCTTAAACTCCTTCCAGATATTTGTGTTCAGTGGCCATTCTCTGTATGCTCCTTAATTTTCTAATTATTCTTCATAAAATAAACAGAAATTAAACAGAAACTTTAAATTATTATCTATGTAATGGAGAGCTTGATAGGATTTTTGTTTCCTAAGATCTTTGTCCTAAGCAACAATGAAGTGTGAGTATTAGGGGTGAGTGTTGTTGATTTATTTTGCTATTTTTTTAATTTATTTAAATATAACCTACTTTATTATAAAAAATACCTTGTTGGTAAATGATCTGATAATTTACCTCGCTTATTAGTGATCAATTAGCACAAATAACTATAAAAATAGTTAATTTCTACCAATTGTACTTACCATATGTTCTTATTGAGAAAAATTAATAATACAAAAACATTTCATAAAAAGAGCCACATTAGACAAATCATAATCCATTTTATGATGATAGAGGCTAGTAAAGCTAACCAGAAAGTAAGTTATTAAATTAAAATAATTCATCATTACTTTCCAAACGACTTATTTACTTCATTCATTTTGCCAAGTACCACAATGGCACATTAACATTATCTCCTTAAATTGGTTTACATTACTCCTTACTTGGTTCAATGCAGAATAAAATACTTACGATGTTAAATAAACATGACATATCAATTGTAAATAGTACTGAATTTTCCTATATTAAGATATAACTAATTTTAACTTATAAAGTTCTAACTGTTGATATTAAACATTGTTTAAAACTGAATCATCTTAGGAAAATAAATGTATTTTGTACTTTACAGGTTCTGGGCTGAACGATGGACAGTGGCATGAGGTTCGTTTCCTCGCTAAGGAAAATTTTGCTGTTCTCACCATTGATGGGGATGAGGCATCAGCTGTTCGAACTAACAGTCCACTTCAAGTGAAAACTGGAGAGAAGTACTTCTTTGGAGGTAAAAGACTGACATTTTTTAAAAGTCTTTTAACTAATACATTGCTAAAAATAAAGTTTCAATGAAGTTTGATTATAAAGTATTTATATTTGCTTCAATGGACACAGTAGATATCAGGAAAATCAGTCATATCTCATTGTGTTAAAATAAGTGGCAATTTTGTTTCTTCACGATGAAGGTACTAAAATGACATCAGCATGTTATTCTAGTCCAATTCGGGTATAAAGCATGAGATTCTGAAACTACTTATTTTCATAATTTTATATTAAAAGGTCCTTGTATTCTATGTTCGTCACCTATTCTTGTGTGATTACCCCAAAATATGGTGGCTTACACAGCAAGCATTATCTCACAATTACTCTAAATGAGGGAGTCAGGCATGGCTTAGCTGGGTCTCTCATGAAGTCATACCCAAGCTATTGGGTGTGGTTACATCATTTGAAGCCTGAATTTGGCTAGGTGGTCTGCTTCCAAGAAGACACACTCGCTTGGTTGACAGTCAGTGCTGGCTGTTGGCTCGGGGGCCTTAGTTCTCCTTCATGTGGCTCTGATCCCTCAGGAGGCCTCTCCTATAGGTGATTGGACTGAGAGGGAGGGAGCTGGAAAGGCAGAGAAAAGGAGTAAAGGAAAGGAGAAAGGAAAGGAAAGCCACAAGCAAGAGAGAGTTTCTAAGATGTAAGCCCAAGTTTTCTTACAATTCAATCTTGTAAATGATATCCTACATATACAGTCATATACAGTTTATTAGAAACTAGAGGCCTGAAGCAGGAAATTTGTGCAAAAGTAGATCACCCCCTGGCTGCTGGCACCTGCTTACCGTATTTTCCAGCGTATAAGACGACACTGTGTTCTAGTAAAAAGCCTGCTCAGATTGGCCAGAGTCAGAGGGGCGGTCTATTAAAAAACGAAATGGTGTTGCCTTGGAAGTGGGGGATAGTCTTATACAGCAAATATAGGCCTAAACCTATGTTTTAACTGTAAAATTAGGGGGTCGACTTATATGTCGGAAAATACGGTACTTCTCTCTGACACCCAGGATCTGGATTCCCTCCCTCCACCAACAGGTACCAGGGACCTGGGCTTCCCTTGCAGTCCCTGCTTCATCTGGAAGGTCATCTGGTCTAATTAGCATATTACACTTTTATTATTATAGATGAGTCACTAAATCTAACTCACACTTAAATAAAGGGATCACACAAAGACACAGGGGTTATTCAGACCATCCTAGAGATAGCATATACATATCTTCTTAAGTAATGTAAAGATTAATAAGGAGGAGGATTCTCTTAATGATAAATGTTACATATGTAAAAGAGTGTTGTAGCATAAACTAGAAAGTTTTCTATGTTGAGGAATGCATCTAGAAGAATTTCTTTTCTTTTTTTTTAAATCATTGATGAAGTATGGTGACACCTTTTATTAATGTGCTAGGTTTTTTGTATAGAGCAATATATCTTTTGTTAAGTTATTGCCTTTCTCATCTTAAATCATGCAATGTGAAATCTAAACAAATACACTGTATCATTAGAAAATGCCTTTGTTTAAACTTTAAAGATATATGTGCACATATATTTGCCTCTAAAATATAGCTATTAATATTCACATGTATATTTATCTGCTTATACAATATAAAGTAAGTTTATAGATCATTATATGTATCCAGTTTTTTCTAATTATTAGAATAAGTCTACTTGAGAGCAGCCATCTCTTACAGGGGTGGGGAAAGTAGGTTTACAGTTCATTGTGAGTATGTGAAACAGCTTATTTTTATATTATTATTTATCAATCATTGTTATTATTTATTTGTATTACAACTGTAAATCTACTTTTGACATCCCTGTGTGTCTTGTTCCCAACTGAATCCCCAAGGTTCTACAAAAATTCCTGGAATATAGTAGATGATGAATAAATAGTTATGAATTAATTAGTAAATTCTGGAAAATAAGGGAGACAAGCATTCTATACTCTGTTAGTAAAAGAAGAAATAGATGTCACCGAAACAGGTTTGGCTCAGTGGATAAAGCATCAGCCTAGTGGACTGAAGAGTCCCAGGTTCAATTCCAGTCAAGGGCACATACCTTGGTTGCTGGCACATCCCCAGTAGGGGGTGTGCAGGAGGTAGCTGATGTTTCTCTCTCATCAATGTTTCTAGCTCTTTTTTTTTTTTTAAATATATATTTTATTGATTTTGTACAGAGAGGAAGGGAGAGAGATAGAGAGTTAGAAGCATCGATGAGAGAGAGTCATCGATCAGCTGCCTCTTGCACACCCCCAACTGGGGACATGCCCGCAACCAAGGTACATGCCCTTGACCGGAACCGAACCCGGGACCTTTCTGTCCCCAAGCCGATGCTCTATCCATTGAGCCAAACCGGTTTCGGCTGTTTCTAGCTCTTTATCCCTCTCCCTTCCTCTCTGTAAGAAATCAATAAAAAAAACGTATATTTTTTAAAAAAGAAAAGAAATAGAAGCCTTAGGAGCTTTAACTGAGTTTGTAGGCAGTACCTGAACTCTAAATCTCTGACTCCTGTACCAGGGAGTGTCTCCCTCTGTGTCATTGTGATGATGAGTGACAACTTGGAGACAGAAGTCCTGACCTAGACCTCTGCATCTGTAATCTTTCATGGCATTTTGGAAATTGAAATAAAAACTACCAAAGTTTAAAAAGGCTCACAATAAATAATTAATAAGTGGATGAAAGTTAGACAAAAAATGTTTTATTGATGTGAGAAAAAGCAGCCCAATAACCCAATTGGATTTCCTCCAAAGAGATAGTTGATATGATGGTTTTTTGGCCAATGGTTGTTATTGTTGTCATAGAAAATGGATCACTCTAGTCAGTTGGAAAGCTATTGACAATTCCTACCCATACAAGTGCCAATGGAATATCTTTGGCCATGAATGAGCTTGCTGATTGTCTAAGGCCATTTTGATCTATTTCCATCTAGATCTGTAAGCAAACAACTATAACCACAAATTTATGGCACAGAGTTTATAGGAGATGAGAGCTTTATAGATTGCTACTTACTTTACTAATTTTGGTTTTCAAACTGAGCAGTCTGCAGCATATTTCTTCCCTCTTGGATTGCTGATGCTCCATTGAGAAAAGCTGTCAGCAAATGGTTTTGATGCTTCCTTGGTTATGTCTTCATTAGCTGAGTCCTCAGGGTATGTAGAAATCACTAGGGGAATTCCTTACAATTCAACTTCTCAGGTCCTGCCTCTACAACATGAAAATGCAATATGCTGAGAAACTAAAGAATTCTAAATCTCAAGTGCTACTGAGACCACTGATCTAAGGAAGTGAATGTAGATTGACGTCAGCCAAGTTGAATGCACATTGGTTTAGATTCTTTTTGAAAGATAAAATCAACCAGTGAAAAGTGAGATAAGTAAGAAATGGCTACTTTTTAAATAGCTTTGGCACCTTGAAACAGTGAAATAAAGTCAGAGTCCAAGGTCTAAGGCACAGGTAGATTTTTAGTAAGTGAACTAGTGACCTGGTACATGATATTCATGCACATTAAAAGAGAATTATTTAGAAGAAATATTTTAATATTGCTATTTGCCCCTTCAGAGATGAAAGAAAATTCATAAAATTTATGTAAAAATCTTTCTCTTGTCAGAGTCTGGGGTGCACTGCAAGAACCAGAGTCAAGTTCCCACTCACCCATGTGCACCTCAAAATCAGGAGACCCATACCCAGATGACCCCACCCCCATTTGGCTAAATCCAGAACAGGCTGGCTCAGGACCCCCAGCTCAGGGCCAGGGCAGGGAACACGGCCTGAGGTCCCCTGTCAATCCCTGCTGGACAGGAGGCATGCCCTGAGGTCCCCCACCCCGGTGCAGGGGTGGGGTGCATACTGACATCCCCTAGTCTGGTTCCTGTGTGGGACATGCAGCCTGAGGTCCCCATCAAGCCCCACCAGGCAGGGGGCACAGCCTCAGGTCCCTGCTGATTGCTCATTAAGGCTCATTATGGGAACTTGGCCTCCACTGTGAGTGAATCCATCTTGTTATGGCATGATGGTCAATTTGCATATTCCCTCACATAATTAGATAGGATAATTGTAGCAAGTTGGCACAACATTGTTGATACACATCTATACTAATAAAAGAGTAGTATGCAAATTGGTCAGGATGTTCGCACATTGACAACCAAATAGCAGGCTGCATGGGGTGACCAGGCTGGCAGAGGAGTTCATGAGGGATGACCAAAGGACTGAACAGCAGGCTGCATGGGGCAACCAGGCCAGCAGGGGGGTTAATGAGGGACGACCAAATGACGGTACAGCAGACTGGGTGGCGAGACCAGGCTTGCAGGGAGGTTAGTGAGGGACAACCAAACAACTGAACAAGCAGGCTGTGTGAGGTGTCCAGGCCGGGGGGGGGGGGGGACAGTGAGGGGTGACCAGGCTGGCAGAGGGAGGCATTCAGGGGTGACTAGGCGGGCAGAGGGGGAAGTGAGGGGTGACATGCCAGCAGGGGGGATAGTTGGGGGTGACCAGGCCAGCATAGGGGGGCATTTGGGAGTGACCAGATCGTCAGGGGGAACAGTTTGGGGACCAAGCTGGCAATGGGGACAGTTGGGGGTGAGCAGGCTGTCAGGGGAGCAGTTAGGAGCAATCAGACAGGCAGGCAGGTGATCAGTTAAGAGCCAGCAGTCCTGTATTATGAGTGGGATGTCCAACTGCTGGTTTAGGCCTGATCCTTGGGACTTCCCCCAAGGGGTCCCAGATTGGAAACGGTGCAGGAAGAACTCCCTCCTTTGCACGAATTTCATGCACCTGGCCTCTAGTGCTTCTATAATGTCAGTGAAATCCTAGTGCTCTGACTTGCTCTACCTTAAATAACATGTTCTCTTTGGGCAGCTGTAGCACAGTTCTGGAAGCAGGATTTTTCTACACTCATAGTCAAGCCACAGCAAGCCTCCTAAGCTAGTGGTTGGCACAGGATCACTAAGTGGTTCAGACCCTATTGCCTTCTCTAAGGCTCAGG